TAGATGGCCGCTTGTTTATCTTCAAGCCTTTAAGACCTCAGATATGGTATCTTTTGATAGCCAGGCACCATCAGCTTTCTTTACTACATTTGCTTATATACCCATTTTGTCTTCAGCCATCCTGTCGGGACGTAAGCATCACAGAATGCTAAGTCATTAGAACACAGTGTTCTTGCATTGAGGGAGTACTTGAGTAAAGGCCCAATATCTGTCTGCTCCCTTACTACTTAGCATATAAATATATGTACAAAAATCTATTTCCCTATCGTTATATATAAATATATTTACATATATACAAGCCTGTATTTAGACCTCTATAAATGTCCTTTGCTTCCTAGTTCTTTCTCCTCTATTTCCTTTTACATTCCTCTTGTCCTGCTTTCATCTTTGGCCTTCATTCAGGTTTCGGTAATTCCTCTCAGCTACTTTGCCCTTGATCAAGACCCACCAGGCATCCTACAACCTCCTCACCATTGACTTTATGTCACTTGTTCCCTTGTTCCTGGGTTTGTTGGCACCACCCCCTTCCTTTCCCCTGACTCCCCTCTTCCCTGTTCCTCCGTTGTTTTCTCCTCTGGATTGTGTATTCCAACTATCTTATTTAGATAGACATGCAGAGACAATAATAAGCGCAGAAACAAGACAAAGCAAAGCAAACAACAAAAGCAAACACAAAACAACAAAAAAAGAAAAGCTTATAACTAGTTCCTGGTCTGTTTATTGACCTTTATGTTTGTTTTTTGGTCGAATCTGATGAGGTACCATCAATGTTTCCAGTGTTTTCTGATCATGTCTGATGGAGGCTGTGAATCTTTATGAGAACAGAATTTTTTTTTCTCCCTTGGAGTGACTGGTGAGTTCGAACTGCTGACTATGTAGCTAGCATCCCGGTGCTTTTTACCTTGAACTTACAAGGCAACAGTTGAAGGTCTGGCCCACAGTTCGCTCCTGGCCTTGCTTTGGCTCATGATAACGGAGCTCCATCATCCTTTCCCATGTATGTAGTCAGTTTGGTTCCCATGTATTCCATCTGGCAATTCCATCCAGGTGTATAGTCATAATTTTTGTTGAAAAAAGTAATTTGTAATGAAGGAGTTGTTGGTCTTACAAAATTCTATCATGCAATCCCAGCTTCATTGTTATCACCAAGACCATATTTTCTAACTACTGATTATTCCTTGTTGTTTCCAAGTTTTGCATTCCAGCTGCCAGTGGTCTCACTACATCTTGATTACATATTTGATCTATTTCAGAATGAAGAAACTGGTGACATTCTTTAATTTCTACATCACTGTAGTGTTTGGTGCGCATATCTGAATAATAGTTATCTTAACTGGACTTCCTTGTAGTTGTAGAGATTCCTGTCACAGACAGGATCACATGTCAAGCTAGATCTTGAAATGTTGTTTCTGATGACAAATGTATGCCATTTCTCTTGAATTTGTCATTCCGGCATATTAACACATTTGATTGTCCATCTGAAAATAGCCCATATCAGATCATTTCAGCTTACTACTGCATAGGGAAATTTATTTTTATGCATTGCATTTTATTGTTGACCTCCAGTTTTCCTACATTTATACTTTGTACATTCTACATTCTGATGAATGTTTGAAGGTTTTTCTTTTCATTTTGAGTTGTGCCCTGTCAGCAAAGGAAGGCCTTGAAAGTTTCCTTCTTTCATGTCATTTAATGTCAGCTCTACTTTGATGAGGCAACTCTTCCCTAGTCTGCATGCCTTTCAACCTGAGAAGTCTTTTCCTGGCATTATATCTGGCAATGTTCCATTGCTATTAATAAGGTTTTCAGTGGCTAATCCATCAGAAGTGGACAGCCTATTCTTACTCTGAGGCTTTTCTTAGTCTGGAAGCACCACTGAACCTTGTTCACCTTGGATGATCCTGCCTTTTTTTTTTTCCTAAACACTGGTGCTTTATCTTCCATCATTACAGCAGCAAGTAAGCACTGCAGTATGACAAACTGTGGTTGGACATTTGCCATAAGAAGTAAAACAACAAAATAAACATAAAACTTGATTAACAAATCATATAAGCATATCTTATGTGGTAGTTGCATAACTTGTCAACTTGAGGATATTAAGAGTGAAGGGGGTGGAGTGTAACCTGTCAATCAAGTTGCAGCTTGATGGCCTCATTTGGAGGATGGAAGGAGATAAATAGCTCACTGGAGGCTGGGCCACACTCTCCCTCTGCTTCACATTCCTGTTGACAAGCCACATGAAGCAATGCTTATGGTAGCTAGAACCTTGGTGCTGGAGGAGCCACATGAAGAGTCACGTCAGTGCTGAGATGCTTCCACAAGACTTTTCACCCATTGGCCTGTGATCTTCCTACTTTCAGCATCATTGCATGTGCTACATGAGTCGGTAGAAGAATATATGGACTAGTATTGGACATATGGGCTAATATCGGACTTAAGGGCTAAAATTGAACTTACGGACTTGATCTGGATTGGGCTGGGATGTTTTCTTAATATGTACTTTCTGGGATATAAAACTCTCTTATACACATAAGAATGTCTCCGGATTTGTGTCTCTGGTCAACCCAGACTAACACATCTTCTTAGTACAGTACTGTTGCAGTCTTGGGCTTTCAAAAGTTTGTTTTGTTTTTAAAATAGAAAATATGATAATTCAGCTTGCCTAGTAGCATGCTATGAATTACTGACAATTTAATGGCAGCTTAGGAGGCTAGAAGTCCAAATCCAGAGTGTGGCTCTCGGGGAATGATTTGTCTCTTTTGGCACTGGGGAAAGGTCCTTGTCCCCTCTCAGCATCTGTACGCCCAGTGTTCCTTGGAGATTTCAGTGTGGTAGCCTCTTCCCTGGTTCTAGGGGTTTTTCAGGACAGAGGCTCCAGATCCAAAGACACACTCCATTTAGCTTCTTCTTTTTTGATGGTGATAGGTCCCTCTGATCTCTGCCTTTCTCTTTATCTCCTGTAAAGTAAAAGGTATTATAGGTCACTTTCTAGGGAAACTTCCTTTGCATTCCATCAAAGCTGTGGAAAGATTAAGGGCATTGCACCTCTTCCTTAATCCTTACAGTTGATTGATTTATCACATCTAATCATGTCATGGTAGATAACTACTAACTGCCACATTACATCATTATACAACTGCCAAGCCAGAATCATGGTCCAGTCAAGGTGACCATTTAGGGGGACTGCAAGTTAATCCAAAAATGATGGTTGCAATGGTAGCCTTTCCCTCCTCCTTAAATAATCTATCCCTTTTCTTGTATTTGAAAGGTTGTTCTTTGGTGAAGACGTAGCTCTTAGAGCTGAGTCCAAACCCCATCCTGATATCAATGAAATATGCAAAGGTAAGAAATAAAAGTTTTTACTAAATAATTCCTTCAATGTCCCAAGTTTTATTCATTAACATCATTTTTATTTAGTCCTTTCACTATATAACATCTCACTTGATACTCCAATGGCAAGTTTGTGTTTCACCTTGGAGCTGTTTACCCTACATGTTATTGGAAGGGGCAATATGTAGTATTGGTCTTCACAATGTGTTCTTACGATGTATTAAGAAATGCTAGGAAGGAGCTAGAGGTCTGTTCTAATAATCTAACCAAAATTAAAAACAAAACAACTCTTTTAAATCTTTATATAACTTTTTATAATTTTTCTAATTATTAAGTAAAAATATTTTTTGTATGCAAAGTATTATACTATAGAAGTTAAAAAATTTCACCCTCCTATGGTTTCACACCTAAGGATACCAATGTTTAGTATTTGTATAGCCTTCTATATATTTTTATACCAATATAAATATATATTTAAAATAATTGATATCATACAACATATATTTTTGCCTGGTCTAGATTCATCTAACTTAATTTTGAAAATGGTTGCATATGATTCCATTGTATTATATACCTATTTGATGAGCTGATTATATTTATGGTATTTCTCATTTAATAGTATATGAATATGAATACCCTAGTACTTGCACTTTTGCTGACTTACCTAATTATTTCTTTGGAAGAACTAAATGTAGATTTGCTTTCTTTTTAATTAATAAATCATTTTATTTAGAGCTCTTACAGCTTTTATAACAATCCATATATCAATTGCATCAAACACATTTGTACGTTTCCACCATCATTTTCAAAACATTTTCTTCTTTTTTTAAGTTTATCTGAAAAAAAATCCTAGCGCTTTTATTAATATTGGTGGCAAA